ACACACACACACACACACACACACACACACACACACACACACACACACACACACACACTAGCAGAACATGATTGCTCTGTGGTGGATGATAACACAGAAAACAAACCTCTGAGTCTTCCATCAAAGTTGGGGTTGGTGGCCACTTTAAGTCCAGGGTGGGGCATCAGGAAGCAGGAGATGTTGGTGAAGCAGGAGTGGATGTGTTTACGGACATTCTGCAGCTCTTCGTGTTGGTTTTCTGAGATCTGGATCACAAAAACAAACACATGATTCACATGATTCATGCTGGCCACCCTTAAACTTATCAACTTATTAAACTGGAGTAACATCGTATTGTGACTCAGTTTGGTTCTAGTTGAAAGTTCAAGTTCAACTTTATTTATATAGCGCCGAGTCACAACATACGTCTCAGGGCACTGTACATAAAAAGAACAATGTAAAGAAGAAACCAGCAGATTGTGTTGAATCACTTCATCACAGTCTCCCATCCTGAGCAAACRGTGGAGAGGAAAAACTCCCTGCTAATCAGGAAGAAACCTCCAGCAGAACCAGGCTCAGGACAGGAGACCATCTGCCTCGACCGGCTGGTTGAGGGACAAAGTCTCATAGGACTGACCTTCAGTCTCTTTTCAAGGAACTTCATGCCACCTTCTTGTCCATAGGGAAACTCGTAGGGAAAACTCCAATCTCGAACCAGGAAAATCATGGACTAGAGAAGAAAGAACCATATTCTAATCACAGTAAATCACTTCTGATATATTTGTTCACTTTCAAGTTAATTTAAGCAGCAGCTGTGTATTCTTTAAAGTGCAAAAGACACAACAGACAATATCCAACATTTAAAGGAACATTTGGCTTCAATCAGAGTGTTACTGAGAGAAACCACCAGCCAGTACCTGAAAGGGTTTGAGAAAAGTCTCTTCCATTGCTAGTCTTCCATACTCAGTAAAAAGCTGAAATAAAAACAATTATGTTAGGAACCATCTGAAGTCTGACATTTTGACATGGACAAATGTGTTTCTACCTTTTCGTTAAAGAAAGAAAAACCCACAAAAGTCACTGAAATGACATGAAAGTGGCAAAAGAAATAAAAAGGAAAAATTACAATAAATAAAACATCTATCCATATTCTAATGTTCATCTGTGGTCAGATAACAGGCAACAGGTCCAGGAAGGAAACCCAGACCTCCCTCTCCCACTCTGCTGTCCACAGGTGTTTTAGTTCACCTGTCCTCATTACAAACAGCTCCAGTTGTTTCAGGTCTGAAAGGTTCCTTCTCCAGGGGCCTCGTGTATAAACAGTGCATACATATAAAAAGGTTGCATGAGCCAGGTTCTACGCCCACGTTATGATGTATTAAAACTAACGTTGCGTGAAAGTGTGCGTAAATATACGCACACTTTTCACCTGCTGTGCGAATGTGCGGCAGCCAGTTTTCTCACTCATTCTCCATTTAATGTATAATTTTCCTGCATCTAAAAATCATTTCTGATCCCACAGAGAGGACAATCTGAGGAGAATCTCACATGCTGGACACATTTACATCTAGTTTACAGATTTAAATGGAGGTGCGTCAGGGGAGGAGTCTCAGTTCCACGTTCGTTGGGATGTATAAAGGAAAGGTGCGCAGGAACCTGCGTGTGCACAGTTTTATACATCTGAATATTTTGGTGCAGCGCACTTTTCTAAATTTGTCCGTACGTCAACTTTTAGTGTGAAAGCTGCGCAATCCTTAATGCATGAGGGCCCAGATGTTTCAGCTCCTTCCACAGATGTTCATCAGGATTTAGATCAGGACTCTATTGATCACTTCAGAAAAGTCCAATGTTTGGTTCTGATCTCCTGGTGTTTTGGGTCATTATCCTGTTGGACCTGTGACTGAGACCAAACGTCCTTACGCAGAGCAGCAGATCAAGCTCCAGAATGCCTTGATAGTCTTGAGATTTCATTGTGACTTAAACAGACTGATGGTGTGATCTGACTCTGATGACCTTAGACCTTGGGGGTCACCTCTAATCTCTGTGGAATTTATTTTGTACTCTTCAGTTTGTCACCAGGTGACCTCTTGTGGACAAGTCCAATGAGGTAATCTTTGTGAACTTTAAACTTCTGAATAAACTGAGCATATATAGAAACAGAAACACCAACCTGTTTAGAGACAGTCTTATAGTCTTTACGTTTAACATGATGTCCATCATTGAGACACTCTGTCTTCAATGAGACTGTCTGTCCTCAGCTTTCTGAGGTCCATGTTCAGTGTGGTACACTCCCTGATACCCAACAGCCCTGTGACTACCTGTCAGCCTTTAAACAGACTGACTGATTACAGACTGAAGATAGGACACTCATGATTTTGGTCAAGGCCAGTTTCATTATTTTGTCAAATTGTGTTAAATCAACATTTAACAGCAGTGACAAGTTTTAATTTATCTTTTACAGTATTTTGTTAGTTTCAAGTTATTTCGGTGACTTTAGTGTTTTTTTCTTTCTTTAACAAGTGTACAAGCAAATTTATCCACTTCTGTAAATCTTGATCTTGTTTAATCTGAAACTAAACATTATATGTGTGCTATAAAARGATCTGAAAACTGAACTGTGATTGTGACTAACAGAAAAATTAGAGGATTTTTTTTTACCTGTAGGTGCTGAAGATCATCTTCTTGTATGTTCTGTGAAATGTTATACACCTGGAAGACATCACTTCATCAGTTAAAACTGTTTAAATTGACATTATGTCAGAGAAGAAACAACATGAGAAGAGCTGGGATCATGTAGTCTAGATAAAAGTGGAGGACAGACTCACAATGGGTTGAAAAGTATTCACCATCTTTAGTTTTTTTCCTACTTTGTTGCTTTACAACCTAGAATTATTCAAGTTTTTACATTTCATTAAAACTAACAGGTCTACAAAATATTTTATATTAATAAAGTCAAATAGAGAAATAAATGGCTTTGAGTATTTCTAAACCTTATAAACTGAAAAGCATCTAAAAACATAATTAGTTAAATAAAATCTACTTTTGGGAGATTTAACCCCGGATTTATACTGCATGCGTCTCCGCTGCGCTGCGCAGGTCGCATCTGTGCGTTTCAAGTCCAGTTTACACTACCTCTGCTTCGTTCCGGTCCGACAGACGTGCATTCAGTGATAAGTGTGGAAGTCACAGCAAAAAATACTTAATTCTGTGAAAGACGAACTACAAACACAGCTGAAAACATTGATATAAAGGCTTTTGGTATCTATGTTGAAACTTTCTCGCTGTCGTATTTCTGAAACTTCTGATTTCAAAATAAAATCCACGTGTATCGTGTGTACACATATGCTTCATGCTACATGTTTCCATCTGCTTCCCAAACAGAACAATACATTCTGACAGCATTTGTGTAGAAATATATCCGTATATTTATTAATATAGCTGCAATTTCGACATTATTCCGACAAATTATTCCGCCGAATATTGTCTTATTTTAAAAATACGGATGTTGTGCTTGTGTCTTTTCCTGTTGGTGTGATGTAATCTTTCAAAATTGACTCCGGTGCTGCTCCGTCGTCCGGCAAAAAAAGGATCTGTTCTAATTTTGATGGATCGCCGTCCGCTCACCGCCGCCCTGCGCCGCCATGTGTAGCCAGTGTAACACTCTCATTGGTTATAATGGGGGTGTGTTTGCTGCGGAGGTCGGACCGGAGCGGAGACGGAATGCATGTAGTGTAAATTGGGGGTCAGTGTCAAATGATTTGTAGTATCACAGTCCCCAGAGTTAACATCAATCCATCTATCCTACCCAAAGTTTTGAGGCCATAGGTGAGATTAGAAACGTAGACTGAACTATAAACAGAGAGCTTTGCCTTACAGCTCAGCTCCCTCTTCATCACAAAAGACYGCAGAAACTSCACCGATCCATCTGTCAATCTAATGCTCTATTATTCCTTCACTCGTGAACAAGACTCCAAGATACGTGAACTCCTCCACTTGAGGCAGAATCTCCAACAGAAAGAGCAATCCAGAGGTGAACAGAGAYGATTGYTCTAAGACTGCAAGGGAAGCTCAGCTTCCCCTAAAACGTCAAAAAACTATGTGATCAAATATATACTGTTGTGTGTACATGTCATTGACTAAATATGCGCTACAACACGCTCCAATTTTGTTCAGAATCAGCTTCTTATTACTCTAACAACGCAGCTTTCCTCTCATTCCTGCAGCTTCACAGAGCTTTCAACAGTCGGACGCTCAGCTTCCACAGAGCTCATCAGCGATGCAAAGACTGCAGCGAAACGAGACGAGTCATTGGATAAATGYTGGGCTTTGTCCCGCCCGTCGGACGCTCAGCGTCTCTGGGGGTCTATGGGACAGGGGGCTGGCCTCGGCCGGCCCGGACGCTCAGCTTCTGCATGATGATTGGATGATCTGTCTGAGGCTGAATCCCTTTTTGATTGACAGCAAAATGAGCGAATCAGCCATCTTTTGGTGTAAACATCCATGGGAGCATTTTTTACTTTCGTTTCTGGTCTGAGTTGAATCGGAGACTTAAATAATCCTCTTAGCAACATTTTCTTTGTTAAAAACGACCAGTGACAAATCGAGCTTCTATTTCTGGTGGTTGTTTTGTAGCTGCTTGTGTTTGGAGACAGACTTCTATCACTCTTTCTGACTTCTATCACTCTTTCTGACTTCTATCACTCTTTCTGTATTCTATCACTCTTTCTGACTTCATCATCAAAAAGAAAAAAATAGAGATGTGACGTTCGCGAACGATCCAAATCTTTTGAACGGCTCTTTACAACRAACGATAGGAGCCGAATTGTGGGCAGTAACGAGCCATTTGTAGTTTTATTTCTTTTATTCCTCAAATAATCTTTATTTTTTCATACTTAAATTGCTCCCGCTTTGCTTTTTCATGGAAAACAGGCAGAGTTGTGGAGTAGCTCACGGTGAAAGGAAAGGGGAAGGGGTTTTCTGCTTGACAAACACATGGTTCCACTCACGTGACGGGATGATGTCATTACGTACGGCTACGTGATGCCGTATTTTCCGACGTGATGACGTAATACGTTCAAAATCGAACAGCTCTTTTGAACGGCTCTGTGAAACAAACGGCTTCCCAAGATCCGGACTCCTTCAAAGAGCCATTTATTCCATCTCTAGAAAAAATCAGTAGGTCCTCTGGATGGTTCTTCTTTAGTGAAACGTTTTGTCTCTCCTCCAAGAGACTTCTTCAGTCTGRTGAGTTTCAGGTGAACTCAGCCTTGTAAGCTCCGCCTCCACATGGTGGACAAACAGGTTAGTCACATGCAAAAGAGGGCCATCAACTAACAATAGGCTTGATTGGCTCTATTGTTCACAGAGGGTCATGTGCCCCATCAYCTGACCCGTGTCRTGTTATGTGAATGTAGTGAATGAAAGCTGGGGTTCAACGCCCCCTTGTTTTTGTCTCTCTTTCCCTCTTTGTGTTGGTATCATTGGAAACGAGGGGTTCACCTGAAACTCATCAGACTGAAGAAGTCTCTTGGAGGAGAGAYGAAACGTTTCACTAAAGAAGAACCATCCAGAGGACCTACTGATTTTTTCTTTTTGATTTTTTTCTACCTGGATTACTGAGATGCATCAGGACACTAAGCTTCATTACTTTTACTTTTATTCTTTAAGTAGTTTTAAAACCAGTACTTTTATACTTTTACTTGAATAAAAAGCTCAAGTTGATACTTCTACTTCCAAAAAAGTATTTTTAAACTCTAGTATCTATACTTCTACTTAAGTAATGAATGTGATTACTTTTGATGCCTCTGCCCACAAAGTCATGAATCTGACCTGAATCCACAGAAATATGACTCTGTTCTGTTTTCTGGATGTAAGGAGCGTCTGAACACGGTGTTAGATTTTTATTTTAGTTTGAGTTTTTACTGTTTAAACTGAAYGATCATGAAACTGAACCCCGGGACTGAAAATCCTTTAACCTCAGACAAGAAAATAGATCAGCCTAAAAATAATCATAGAACCTCAGTCCAGTCTGTAAACTGTAAAGTTTTTACATTTTTGTCACATAGTTGRAAACACACGCRGAGCGCACACACAGCTGAGGGAAATAAAATGTGTGTGAATTGTCTAAGAAACATTTTAATTCTCACTGAGAAAAAACGTCAACTCAGCAGATTAATTCAGAACAGCTCAGCTGTGATGATTCCTCGCAGATTTGTTGCTACGTAAAGTTGTGCGTATGGATCAATGTCAGCTGTTCCCAGTCCCACACCGCGGCAGAAACTCTCACTCCCCCTGCGTCAACATATTGATGCTTGGTCAGGTAGCCTTTTGCTTCCAGTTTTGGGCGCGTCAGTTTTTTACGAGATGAGACGGAGGAGGATGGGCACGTTGTTCTATTTTTTTTACAAGAGTAGGAAAAGTGCGTTTTTTCACATCAACTATTTAATAAATATTTTTCTAAATTCTACAAAAGTCATAAGTTTCTCTGTGTTTACAGTCATTTATTAAAGACGTGTAAAGGTGGGAAAAAAAGGTGGAAATATCTCTCAGCCTCATGCGCCGCTGAAAATAACAGCACACACACACACACTTTTGCAAGTGGTTAACTCATTTTTACACTCCACTACTTACTGTATATAGACAGTTTTCTCACTCATTCTCCATTTAATGTATAATTTTCCTGCATCTAAAAATCATTTCTGATCCCACAGAGAGGACAATCTGAGGAGAAGCTCACACGCTGGACACATTTACATCTATTTTACAGATTTAAATGGAGGCGTGTCAGGGGAGGAGTCTCAGTTCTACGTTCATTGGGATGTATAAAGGAAAGGTGTGCAGGAACCTGCGTGTGCACAGTTTTATACATCTGATTTATTTGGTGCGGCGCACTTTTCTAAATTTGTCCGTACATCAACTTTTAGCGTGAAAGCTGTGCACTCCTTTATGCATGAGGCCCCTGAAGAGGCACAGGTTTGCATTAAAAAGATTGGCCCCTATCAGAGGCCACAAGTATTCAGTGAGTGAAATGAGCAAGATTACTATTTGAAAATATCATTAGGCAACATTTGTTAACCTAGCATGGTAAACATTACTCTCTACAAAGTGATAATCAGATATTAAACAAGTTCATTTCATAGTAGTTTTTATTATTATTATTTATTATGTTCTTTTAATTTTTCAGTTCATGTTGGAGATATATATGGATTCAATTGGTATTATGGTGACACATACTGTATGTACAGTATATAAGATGTTAGTACCATATAATGCAGGGGTGTCAAACTTATTTTAACTGAGGGCCACATGAGCGTTATGGTGGCCCTTGAAGGGCCACTTGTAATGAACTTTGATGTTTCATGTTTAAACTTTGACTAAACAGAGTTTTAACATGTCCTCTTTTAAACACTGATAAGAACTAAGTGTACGACTGACTAAATCTGAAATAAATACAGAAATATTATTAAAAGTAAAACTAATAAAGATTTACTCACTGATGAGTTTATAGCTGCATTATGGCAGATTTAGTTTATGGTTGATGCTGACTTTAAAGCAGCTCATTTTCAGCAGTTCAGCAGTTCCTTAAAGCCAACAGCTCAGGGGCAGGACTATTGTTATCTTTCACCTTTTACATTTATTTTGTTGCACTCAATCATAAATTTAAAGTTTACCATTGATATAAGAAACAATTTTCATGTTAAGTTAAAATG